CTTAAAGCAAAACTGAGATTCGTAGGTATGCGGTAAATGACCCTGAAAGCACGATTAACGTCAATCTTGTGTTCTGTCTCCACAAGATGAGAGAGAATAGCGCTGCGAATAGATTTTGTTTGTCCTTTGCTTAACCAGGCAGGGTGATGTTCGGAAATTCGACGCGATTGTAAGTTAATGTTAGTAGAAAATACAGTCTTTTGATTGGTTGTTTCTCACAGAAAGTTAACCTTGCATCTTTTTGTGGCTGTGTCAGATCATCATCCATATGCTAACTGTATCCGCCTACGCAAAGCCTTTGTTCTCATTTTCTCACCACCAATATTGGGGACATAAACATTGACGTCAATTACTGTCTACCAACTTTTGCTAGCATCCAACTCTCACCACAATAGGAATAGATAATGGTCGAGTTAAAATGGTTGCAATAATGGTGAAGATAAATAACAAGAGAGATCAAGAACAAGAAAAATGTGGGGAGGAGGATGATAATACACCCATTCCGGTATCAAAATAAAAACGTTTTCCCAAGGTAGCTTTAACGTGATTATGAATTGTCTTTTGTTTTTGAACCCATAAGCCTACTACCTACATGAGGATGATTATAATGCCTCGGTAAATAGAAAAACATTGAACGCTGATGTTAAAAAAAAGACTTTTTATGCAGCTAAGATCAGTATAATTGAAACTGTGAAGCCTTTATATATCCATATAAGCTCTTAGAGAATAAAACGAAAAAAATGATGTCACACACCTCAGGATCCATCAATTTACATGGATGTGTGGTCACACACACACGTGATGTACCATATCCTGAAGTTTTTCGAAGCCTCCTAGCGATCAGGTCAAAGTTACAACCACTTTTATATATTCAAAACAAAAGAATTCATTACCACATTAGACCTTCTCTGATGAAGCTTTCATTTTGAACAAATATAATATTATAAAATTATATTTGTAAAATCTCAGCGAAATTGAAATGATTAATTCCAACGTTTCGTTCGGCAATCTGGTCCGAACTTCTTCAGGGAAATTAATCGAATTAAAATAAACAGGTTTATATATAAAAGGAACAACTCATGTTTTTTAAATTTTGTCCAATCATGAGTATGCAACAGTCATCAACATGTATAATAAACAAATAAATAAAATAGTATGTTGACTGTTGCATACTCATGATTGGACAAATTTAAAAACATGAGTTGTTCCTTTTATATATAAACCTGTTTATTTTAATTCGATTAATTTCCCTGAAGAAGTTCGGACCAGATTGCCGAACGAAACGTTGGAATTAATCATTTCAATTTCGCTGAGATTTTACAAATATAATTTTATAAATGTCTACTTCTCCTCAGCGCTCAATTATTTTGCAACTATCCGGTCAAATCTTGATCACAGTTCATATAAAATGTAATATTATTTCTCGATCCCCTGTTTTTGTCTACTGATCACCATGGTTACCATTTTAACTTTCTACATAATATCCTTTTAACTCAGGCTGACCTTTGCATGTATTCACTCTTTGTATCTATTCAGCTTTTATTAACCCATGACCTAAATGTCGTTCTCTAGGTGATTGTTGCCTACTGCCACACTTCTGTGTAGAGACTAGGTCCATCAGTCGGTCTGGTCTTCACCATCTCCTATTAAGCCAGCAAAATATAGTTACCTTGAGATTAGACAAAATAAGGGATGTATAATAGGGAAATTAAACTTTAGACACCCCACACAAGCGCGAAAGCCGCATCAATGAGCTTGGAACACACTCACAGTTAGAGAGTAAGGCAGTGAAACCAGGTAGAATATCACTCTATATTCATGAATGATCTTAAACAAAATATCTGGTTAGTTTTAGGTTACGTTAGGTTAGGGAAAGATTAAGGATACAGCTAAAGATTATTAATATGATTAATCCCTTGGGTGATTCTGAGTAGGACATAGGGCTTCAACTGCGGCACATCTCGATTTCATCCTGTTCTTCGCACGCATCTTTAGCTGGCTCCACAAGATCTCATCTCTTTCATGTCACCCTCAGACCCACATCCAACCTGTCGTTTTCCATTCAAAGTCCACCCGAGGGCCTGGTGCGTGAATTTCGTTCCCTGCGCTGAGTGCATTAGATTTCCAAACTGATTTCAGAGTGACTGAGGTCTGTCTTGCCTTTCTCTATTCTACTTTTGATATCCTCATCCCTTCCGCCTACAGTAGAAAAGATTCTGCCTAGATAAGTGAAAGAAGAAGTGACCTCCTTTATATTTCTCCCGTTGATGGTGATGGTTTTTTTTTTAATTCATCGTCGTGTATCTTCATCACCTCCATCTTACCAATGTCCACCTGAAATCCTGTCTTTGCTGCCAGCCTCTTCTGCCAACTTGGTGGTTTGTGACGAAATCAAATATAAATTGTCGGTGAAGTCCAGGTCTTCTAGAGTCTTGTTTTTTTTACCAACGTAATCCTGTCTTCTCACTGATATACGACCCAGTTCACTACCGTAACCAGAATTATCTCCGGTGATAGTAGGCCGCCTTGTCTTACTCACACGTTAGCTTCAGTCAAGGATAAAGAATCATTGCAGTTATGAACCCGAAATTTGCTTTTTCGATAAATTATTGATTCTGACAGCGCCTCTTAAATATCTAAAGTTGAACTTCCCTACATGTATAGAACTTAATATGTTTCATCACTCTACAGACTCACATACTTACCTCTTGAGGTTTTCTCCCCCTTTTTGTCCTTTATTTTTTTTTCGCATTTACTATTGATGTGGACTCCAGTGACTTGATAAGATCAATGAATCAATATTCTACATCCCAAAATGTTGATGTTTCTTGAAACTTGTCCTCTCTGTCGTCTGTCTATCACATGTAGCAACATAACTAGCTATGATACTGAGTCATTTGACATTATTGTTAGTAGTGTAGTTACAGAACTAAAATTAGCTCATGAGCTGGCTGATTTCAGTTAGAGAACCACTGAAAACTACCAGGGAATACTGGACATCAGTTTCATCCATGTTTGGGACACGCATCAGCACTAGGTTGACCGTTTAAGCATTATTTTAACTCTTCAATCCTAACTAACTACCAGTTCACACCATTTAACACCATTGGATAGTATCTTTTCTTACATCCAACTTGGAGGACAACCCAGCTTCGCATTACATATTTAGGAGATTGACCCTGTAGTCAGTCATTCATTTGTAGCAGATAAATTTCGAAGTGTTGATTTGAAGAGGGAATTGAGTGATATCAAGTTAGGAGCCTAACAGCACTCTACTAGAACTCATTCACTCGTGTAAGAGGTTACGCAGAGTTGTCATCTGACTCTGAATGACACTGACTTGTTACCAAGGAAAAGTCATCGATTTAGAGTATACGGATGATAATATCCTTCACGGTGAAAATGATAATAAGATGTAGAGTCTTCTGAATACTGCCTGGAGCATAAAACTTCGAACTTTTAGCATGTGATTCGCTCCTCTCAAATATACGATGATGCAGCAGGACTACTCTGCACCGACTGCTATCTTAGAAACAGAGAGTGAATTGGTTGGGCGAGTTGTTTGGTAATTTGCATCACAGCCCTAATGGACTGACTGAAGATGATGAAATCTCAGCGGGAATACAAACAACTCGTGTGAGTTTTGCCAGCCTACATCATTTCTGGTGTAGACATGTGACACCCATCTATCGATCGAAGGACATGTGCACTGCACAACAGCAGTTCGCTCTGTCCTTGATGATTGTGAAACATGACCATTGAAAGTGGAAGACATTAAAAGGTTAGCCGTCTTTGATCAAAGGTGTCTGCGTTCTATCTCCCATGTCAGGTGATATTGTGGTTAGGTGTACAGTGCTATATAAGGAGTAGAAGTCAACCGATGAGGTTGTTAGGCTGAATCGATTGAGATGGCTAGCACACGTAATGTGCATCTCGACTCGCCACCTCCGTTGATCAATGTTAGCTGAAATATGATGAGGTTGAAAAAGATTTAATGTCAGTTAAACCAAAAGGTGGCATTTATTCATGAACCTCTAAACAACTGATTTGAACCAGACATTTAAGGAGGTGTTTCAACTACAGGCGGAACGGAGGAAGATGTCAAAGCCAGCCAGTCAGAATCGGAAAGGCAAGATTGGCCTTCATCAGCCTGAAACCAGTTTAGGAAATCTTGTGCACTCAGTCAGTATAAACAACAAAATTCGGATTTTCAACACAAATGTCAAGTCAGTTGGGTCTTCTATACGGGTCAGAAACTCGGCTGGCGTGTCACGAAAAGAATTTCCAGCGGCCTGCTGCACACTTTTATCGACAGTTTCCTTCTCCGACTCCATATTGAAGATCAGATGGCTGGCCAGAAAGAATTAGCAACAAGAAACTCCGGCAACAAACTAACCAAGAGCCAATCGCTCAACAAATATGTACGGGAAAATGGAGATGGATGAGGCATGCGTTGAAGAAACCGTTGAATGACATCGCGCGCCAGACCATCGCTCGAGTGGAACTCGAATGGGAAGCGACTAGTGGGTCGTCCTAGGGTGACATGTAGGAGATCGCTTAGTGAGGATGAGATGAGATATTATGGGCAATAGTGGACCCAGCTAAAGAGGACGGTGGAAAATAGAACAAAGTGGAGATGTGTTTTTGAAGCCCTCGGAACCCAAGGGAATAATAATACATAATAACAGACTGCCTGACTAATTGCAGTTCTCGGGATGCTAATAAGCAATGACTGGAGACTGTTAGTGATATGAAATGAAGTTGTGTCTTGGTTGAAACCCCAAGTTCTACTCGGGACCTATAGGAATAGGAATAAGAATATTATGGTTTCTACTAAGCACATCCACGCAAACCACGCACTCAAACGTGGTCAATAATTTAATAAATTAATGAACATACATTTAATGATTATTATTATTATTTAGACAAAATTGCTGTTTATTATTCAATAGAAAAAAATAATTAAATTAATAAATAATTGAATAAATGAATATATGAAAGGGAGAAAGAAAAGTTTGACATTGAAATGCAAAAATTCACACAAACACACGAATTGTCCGTGAATTGAAGTGTGTAAACTATTAATTTCTGTTGTAAATGATGAGACGGAGTTAAAAACAACAGAGATGATTTGCCCGCCTCAAAAAAACCAAAAAATGCAAAGAAGAAAATCAGTATCAATGATTATAATGATTTACCTAGGCACCTACGCATGCGGGAGCAAGCGTGTTGGGATGGGTGGGTGTGTTGGGTTCGACTGATTTCTCCCTGCATCTTCCCCCTTGCCGACTCAGTTTTACAAAAAAACCTCCCTAACCTTGCTGTTAGGTTGGTTGGTACCAAAAGGATCTGGGAAAAGAAGGTTGGTGGGCACCTTGAACCCCTAAATGCTGTTCCACTTCGATGGAGAAAAAGGAATACACATTTGAGTTATTAGTAAGGGTGAGAGTCAGAAAGAGTAATACTCTGTGGAGAATGGAATACCAATCATGGGATTGCTAACAATTCTAAGAGATACAGGAATAAAGTAAGTATGGAGGCATTTAACGATACCGAAGACTTAAGGGGAAAAATGAGGAGAGAAAGAAAGAGAGACAGTCAAACGCTCTTTCTTTTTCCCCTTCTTCTTTACGCTTCAATGATTGCTAACTGGTATTACTGATTTATACGATAGAGATAAGAGGGGTATTAGCATAGCCCCAAACTCTATACCTATGCAGAAGCTATCTGAGGTTAGATTCCTGTGCTCGCCACACTCCTATACCTTACTAGCCGATGGGTGTGACACTAAGCACCTGTCTAGTAGAAAACAAAAGGAAAGGAAGCTTAGGCAAAAAACTAGACAGGAAAAGCATTTCAAAGTTTTCACGGTGAACTGGCGATGGTTTCACGGAGAACATGCAAAATAATACTTGAGATATGAGCGAGAAGGTGTTTGAGAAACACTCCAAAGAATAAATACAAATAATAATGTCGATAATATTACCAACAGTATACACATTAGAAAACCAAATCAATAATAATAATGTAAGCGAAGGGGAGAATAATTGAGGATTCGGATAAAAATTATGTTTCATTATTCACTGGTATTGTTGATTTACTTGGCACAGACGAGGTATAACCAGCTTGCGCTGTTTTCTCGGCTATCGCATCCAGCAGAGGTTGACGTTTATGCCGGTAGCGAACAGCTAGATTTTTTAATTCAATTTCTAAGTCATTGGTCAAAGTGATTAACAACTGTTCTAATTCTGTATAGGAGAGACGATTCAAACCACCACCGCCACAACCACCGGCAGCTGACGAGGGATCATTTGTTGTGTAAGGATTATTTTGTTGGATAGCTCGTGAAAATGGTGCAAATGGTCTTTGAATAAAAGGGGCTGGTGCTGCAGGCTGGGCTCCCGGTTGATGTGGAACGACCTGACGGTGGTGATGTTGTTGGCCTACGACATTTCCATTGACATCATTATTCACTTCGGAATCTTGTTGCCCATGTAATCTGAAATGGATGTATGTATAAAGAGAGACAAAGAAAAGTAACAGCAGAAGAATCAAAACAAATAGGTTTAATCACAAGCTGACCTCAGTTAGAGAATCATTGGAAAACCGGTACCGCAGTATTGGACAGTTGTTTCGCTCTTACCAGGACACTTGAGGAGTACGCACTTATCGGTGTTCGAACCCAGGACCTTCCAACTACGAGCCGAAATCGCAGGTCTTTCAGTCAAACCAAAGCCATGGCATTCGTCCATGAAGTCTTTGACAGTTGGTTTGAGTCAGTCACGTAGCCAGATATAGACTGCCTCAACGGTTGGGATTCATGGGATGATAAGAACCAATCGTTGCAGCCTGTTGGTGATATTGATACACACAAACAAACGCACACACATTTTTGCAGATATACACAGCGAAAATCTTGATTTAGAGATTTACAAGACATAGGAAAAAAGACTGAGCAAAGAATATTCTCTTCCGATAACTTATTCTTCCAAATTTTGGTTCTTATTTTATTAATACCAATAGAACACAAACTGTGAGCACTACTAGATATGCCACACAAAATCTCAAGGTTTGTGAGAGGGCTGTGCGAACGCCCACACCGAAGCAGGTGATGGTTACTATGAGGGACGACTGCCACTCCAACCCTACGAGACTCTGACTTCAAGTCCAATCCAGAAGGCAGTGTGCACTGACGCAGCACCAGGAGGTGCTACATTTTCAAGGTTGCCAGTGATCAGGAACAAATTGACACGCCATTCAATCCATGTAGATTCACAAGATCACGTACACACACACACACCATAGGTTTGAAATAATGAGGGTTCTCCAGCTCCCTTCGGTAGGTAGACCTGCATTTCCTCTAGCAGCAGTCTAGTTGTAAGAGGCAGACGTTCGCATTAACCCCTTTCACCTTTGTGAGGAACACCCCTGCCAAGCCGAGTGAAGGCAGTGAATAAGACAACTTACTATATGGCAGAGGTTATGATTATGTGTGGCCACATGAGAGTATTTTGAGAGGAGGACTGGAGTGTAACCAGTCTCGGCTGTACCAGGTCGTTTAAGACAGTTCCTCTGGCCCTACGGTGATATATATATATATATATATATATATACAGTAATATTTAAATACTAACTGATATTGGCAACAACACTAATGTATTAAATTAGTGACTGATGACTAGCAGTGGAATCCGGGATTCGCAATTCAACCTCGCATTTGCAACTCATCATCTGGATGTACCTGCATTCCCCAGTCAGTGATGGTGTTCCTACTGAGGCTCATACGCAATACCCAAAGTTTCAAACACCAAAGCTATGGGCACTGGATCGGAGCCTTAGTGGGAACACCACTCAACGGGGAATGCAGGTACACCCAGCAGACGAGTCCCAAATAGAAGGATGAAATGCACATCCTGGTTTCCACTGTTGGTCACTATCCACCAATTTACTTCAGGTTAAATAATCAGACATCGTTGAGGCATGCGCAAAAGGAGCCGATATGTCAACCAGAAGCCGAGCACTTCGGTCCAATCAATCAACGCGAAAGTCCGAATTGTATTAAATAAACATTAATGTATTTCTCCTCAAATAATACTTCCTTATTAAGAGGACCAGAAGAATTACAGTTCAAAGGAAGCATATTCATGTGTAAGTGAGTAGATAATATGCATAAAAATATGTAAAACTAAACAAAGTGTTTTATTGACAGAAATATAGCAATCTATTCTAATGGCTGTCTTAATCAAGAACTCAAGATTATTAGGGAAGGAAGCGAACTAATCTGCCGCCAGCTCTTAAATAAAAAACTCTGCTCTCTTAACTCCACTTCCTTGGTGATAACACACAGCCTCTAAAGAATGCAGTGAAAAAGAGCAATCAATGCAGCAGCATCAGACTGACTAACTCGTTTCAATAGAGAACTACTCTGCACAGAAGTGTGGCAGTTCAAGTCACCACACTCCCTCCATATAGCACACAAAGCAAGAGAAGAGAGTAAAGAAAGAAAAGAGACAGAAGGGTTATGAAAAAATAATTGTAGTAATATAGGAGAACAGTAGAGTTTTATTGGATATGACAAATCATGAAAAGTGAATGCATCTGCACCATCACTGAGAATGATTTTCAGCTATATCACCAATTATCTGTTTCTAACCTTCATTGGTTCTAACCATCCTAAGCACTCCAACCAGGGAGTCTACACCTCCCTACGTGGCTTGAACTAATTGCTATGGATTTCATTGACTGATGCCATAACTGGACAAGAGGTACACTGTATCTTAGCAATTACTCTCCGATTTCGCGTTCAGGAGTTAAGGATAAATTCATTAATTTCACCTTCTCCTTTGTGTGCATCTATGACAGATTGATTGCACCTGTGGAGCCAATTAGCCGTATTCATTATAGGATTTCTGAACATCATCATCCTACAAAATGGTTAGAAGTATGAGATAAACATAATCTGCTCGTAAGCCTTTCTCTGTTTTACATTTCATTTGTTGTAGATACTGAGAATAAAGTCGATGTTAACAGGGCATTTAAACTTATCTATTGTATTCTGAAGACTAATCTTCATTTCACCCTACGAGTTCATGTTTTACACATATAGGTGACGCTATCAGGAATCCACCATAAGAGGTCTAACTTATATCCTCACAAAAGTTCCACTCATTTTTTTTCTCTATCTTGACCAACACCTCCCCTCTTTGCCAGGCTTATTACCAGCTAAGTGAGGTTTGGCAGTGTGACGGCGGGGGGCTCGAACCCCAGATCACCTGAGTAGTTGGCCAGCATTCTGCCTCTGCGCCAACAACGCAATATTCAGTTTATTATCCGATATTTTATGTGTATTATCACACACGAATACGCCTCATTGAACTGCAGTTTTACAGATCCTCTTGACAACTCGATATTATGTAACAGCAAAAAGGTACATTAATGTTGTTGTCAAAGCAATTATTCTTTAAAGATTACTATGCATATATATGTAGTAGCCAAATGACGAGGAAGTTATCGAAAGGGTATATTCTTCGCTCAATTATTCTTGTTTTGTCTTCCAGACGTACCAGGTAGATGAGCCGATGGGACGAAACGTGTGAGTTCTGAATTCCGTCCAATTCTAGGAATTAGATTAACAAATAGTGTTAGGTTTCTAGTGGAAATGTGTTCCCTAAGCAGCTGGGTGATGGTTTACTCGCAAAGCAGTGGATAACACTCATTGGCTTTTGAAATGGTGGGTGCTTGCTAAGTTCGAGTCTCAGTAGGGTAGAACAGCATCCACCACTGCAGATTGTAGGTAAACGTATCCATCTGAGTGAGACGCAGTGGGATCCATAACCTACTGGCAGTCACCATCATCCACCAACCAAGCAAATAAACATGTCATGTTAATAACATCAGACATCGTTGGAGCCGACATGTCAACTAATACAAGGACACTGAACATTTCAATTCAGTCAATCAATGGGAAACAAAACAAGATTAAATCGAATTCGCAATTTACAAATTACACACCATTCCCTTTTTGGGAAACATCTCAGCCAATCAGCAGTATATACTTTTCCGCATTTATGTTTGCTTTCTTGACTACAATTTTTTATGCTAGTATCAAGTAGATCACGTATTCTGTGTGTGTATGATCTCGATAATTTCAGCTTACAAAAGAAAGTATATGATGAGATTTCGAACTCCTCAAACAATTGTGTATTAATTGCAAATTGGGAATTTGGTTTAACGTGTTACCAATTCACCCAAGTAGATAGTCAGAAATCGTGTACTTTCAAATGATTCAGTCGTCAATCTGAGTTGAGTCAAACACTGACGGAGGAGGTCAGCCCCAAACGACCGTTCGGTGGTGTTTGGTGTCGGGTTAGCAAGCACCACTGACTGGTTGATGTGATATCCAACTACTCACATCGGCAATCAATCAGTAGTACATATAGTTTTACGCGAAAATAAAAAATTGACTTAAAGAGATGAAAATCTTACAGCTTAGGAAGAACTTACTCAATATTATTATTATGATGATTCGCAATTTTGACAGCTCTATCAATTTTACGCGTCAATGTCCCCTCGGTAGTCGTGATCGCCGACGGGAGAGCAGCGTCCAGTAAAGCGAACGCTTCACGTTGATCCCGTTCGGCATCGGCGTCGTCACCCTCATTGTCATCATATCCACCATCCGAGGAACTACTGATATCATGGACAACAACAGAACCGCTATCCTCTTCACTTTCTGCAGCATCATTGACAACCATTGTATCAAGATTACCAGAGGAACCATTCAAGTTCATTTCGTCATCGTCTTTATGGTAGTCATGATGGCGTATAAAGCTACCACTACCATCATTCCCATCACCACTGTAGGCACTTCCATGATTTGAATTCAATGAGACTAGAGTAGCCGCTCCATCCATGTGTAAGCTGAAAATAGCACAAAAATATAATCATATATATGAAACTAATCACTTTACGGTATGAATGTGATGTACACAAACTGGTTCGTTCACGTGATGCTTGTAACGTAAAGCACACTGAAATAGAAACTAAGTCAAGCATAAAATACCTTGGAATAGTTCTGTCCTCTGACCTACCTTAGTCATCCCATTTCTTGTCAATTTCTAAGATGTTCTGTCTAACCTACTACATTAAGATGCTATGACAATCAAGTAGTTATCACTCAACCTCTACTTTTACAGTTTGTTAACTCTTGCACCTAACCTATTGTTATTTACTACTGTCCCTTAGTCTTGCCTGGGTTGCTCATAAAGGACTGTGTCATGTTGCGAAAGGTATTAAAATTTTTCAGTAGGGCAACTGGTGTGCCACTTCTGTGTGTCAGATTGTTACTACTGTAGTTGGTAGACACCTGAACTCTTGTAGAAAACGGTCTTAATCTATATTGCCTGACTCTCAACATTCTCTCTATTCACAACTCTCCCCTCTCTTGCATCTAATCTGGTAGGACTAGAAGTCATTATAAAAGATTATGCGCTTGTAAAACCAAGGACACCCTATTTGACCCACCCGCGTTCTATGTAATAGAGAGTGTTAAGCGTGGAACCTATAACTCACTATGTTATTAGCAAAATAGTTGGCTCTATTATTCTCTCTCATTTGTAATCTGTGGTGACACTATTTCAATTAATTCATAAATTTAGGCATTAAGAAACCTGGTACTCAAACGAATATGCAATTAACAAACCTGTTAATGGAGACGAAATATACCAACTAATAAAAAGTAAATCATGTGACGAGGAAGTTTAAAATCTAAGTTAATAAAAAATGATTAATAGAGATGTAGAGATGGTTACCAGGAGACGCAATCCTATCACTCATGGAAAATTTAAGTCAGTTCACTTTACGCTAAAAATTGCGCTGAAGATGTTGTCCAGAAGGACGACGAAAGCTACGCAACTAAACCAACCAGATCCAAGAACACTACTAATTGTAGATACAAAACTGTATAAAATGCTGAAAATTCCACACTGTATCATAAGTACTGTTTCGGAATAAAGCAAATCATTATTACCATTATTATTATTGGTACATCTTGTCAACAAGAATGATAATAAGATTTGGGCATAAAAACGTATGCATTCAGTCATAATACTAATAATAATTTAAATTCAATTATAGAATTTCATGTCGCAAGCAAACGGCACCAGTTAGGGAGAGATCATAGAAAGCCAGAAGGGAGAGCACTCAACAGCTACTTCGTCCTATTTCTGGACTCTTCATCATTGAACTCTCTATAATTGATCCCGTTGATTCGTGATGAAATCTAGCAATTCACATTAAATTAAACCTAGTCCCCACAGACTCCATAATGTGAACTAATAATAACAAGTTAAAATTCACGGGCTGTTGGCTTCTATTTCAGTGGCTGAACGGTTGGAGAGCTCACCTCCTAGTCCGAAGGTCCTGGATTGTTCGTTCCCTATCGGTGAGATGGGGTCATAGGTGTGTAGTACCGATAAAGAGTTCAAAAATAGAAGGAAAAACAGCTATCCAGTACTTCCTCCCGTCCTTATGGCTTTCAATGACCTTCTCTAAATGATATCAATCTGTGATCGAACTTTAAGGTTAAAAGCGATTTGCCAAACAAAGTGGAAGTCGGAAAGGAACTCTAAGTACTGAAACGTTTAAACACACCTATCCCAAAAATCCTGCATCCTCCAGTTCTTTTTAAAGATGATGGAGAGATTTTCATCAAGGCGTCGACTGAACTGTCCAAGAATGTATGAGAAATGGAAGATGTTCCACCAATGTTGAATCAAGCCATTATCATGCCCATCTTTAAAGGGGGTTAACGTAATACGTGCGACAATCACCGGGGGTAACACTTTGCTACCAGTCGCGTCTAAAATATTGTCTGCTGTCTTGCTTCGTAGGCTGCGCAAAACACTTAGGCGGTTGAATCACGAAGAGTAGAATGGGTTTCGTTCAGACTGTGGATGCACTTTGACTATGTGTTAACCCTTTGTCAGTTGCTAGAACAATATCACACACATGTATTTCGGAAAAAAATCGCTGTGTTTCTTGATATTAGGGCTGCCTTCGATTCGCTCGACAGAAATGCTCTCTGAAACTGTCTGGTAGAGAGACATGTATCTAAAATGTTTGTTCACATCCTGAAAGCTCTATAGAGAAACACCTAAGGTATAGTGAGAGCATGCATCCAGTTGTCACCACTATTCCCATTCAATAATGGGACTACACAGGGTTGCTCAATCTCTTCATTTCTCTTTAACTGTGCAATAGATCACATTCTGAAGTCAGCTCTTAGGGACATGCATCAGTGTATGTATGTATATATGGTGTGTGTTCTGCACCGTCTAAATAAGTAAAACGAAACTAATACATACCTGGGAATTGATCTGATGCTCACTAGTGACTGAATGACTACAGCAGGGCGAAGTTGCCTGAAGGACTTCTAGTGAAAAGTTGTGACTTGGTTGGGTGTCAGAACAAATACTCACCGATGGCATTGGCTACCAGTAACGTCACGCTAAAAATTGCCAACTGGCAGAAGTTAGAATTCATTAGCTGACCACTAGATACCCTTTCAGTAGATGAATGGACAAATAGCTCTCCGCTTAACCAGAATGTCCTGAGTTGCTGATAAACAGTCCCATACTAGGAAGACGTAACAGCTATTCAGTACTCTCTACTGCTGGGTTTCAGTGGTTGTCTGAGTGAAATCACTTCACGATCTAACTTGAGATCAATCAAATCTCTCCTGAAAAGGAGATTTGTTATATTTATTCGTAAAATTACATAAGTATATGATGACGCATGAATTCTAACTTCTGTCAATTCGTGACCTATGCAATCTTTGAACATCCTTTTCACCCTGACACCATGATCCCCACTAGCCACGACTTCTCAGTGTAATTTCAGGACATCCATCTAATAATAGCAAGCAATGAGCTGGAGATTAACGTAGCCCTGCGGTTCTAGAAACATCCTGAAAACGTGGTAGAAGTTAGAATTTATGGGCCATTACTGGATCCTGTGTCAGACCACCTTAAGATCCGAGGTGGTTCCAAAAACTCGCCGGTTTATCGGTGAGTAGTACTGTTGACGAAGAGCCCCAAACAAAGGACGTAACACATGTCCTGTTGCACTCCAGTAGTGATTATTCAATAGTTCTCTCTAGCTAGTATCATCATCAATTTACGACCAAACTTTAGATCTAAGTGAGAACTAACCACTTGACAAATTAAAAAATAACAAAACTAATAACCAATCATCTTACCCAGTTTCTGTATTAAGATTATCAGCAGTGGTATTTGAACCGATTATTAGGACTATCTGTCAACCAAGTAGTCTATCCCTTCTCTACATGGCAGGTTCAAACGAATACTCAAAGACTTCACAGACTCTTCAACGGAACGAACCCAAGACCCCACCATGGATTGAACCCAGAGCATTTAGATTATAAGGCCAACTTATCAAGAATTCAGCCATGGTAAGGTTCATAGTGAGCAAGAGTCTCCAACTGGGAGGAAAAAGTTGTCCAATAATCCTTTTTGTTTAACGGTCATCCTGGAGTCCTACTAGTGAAAATGATTGACCAGCGGTGTCAATCAAGTATTCGGGAGTGAGGAAAGATACTCGTTGAAAGTATTAGCCTTTCGTGTAAGTAAGGCATACTGGCAAACGGCATCAATGGATTGCCACAGTGAATAGTCAACAGGATTACCTGAAACCGCCTGCTACTTCGATCCTTAGTAGCGTCATGCATAAGCACTCCACTTTACACTTATATAGATGACAGGCTTAAACAAATAGTCAGTAACACGATGAACTCCTGAAGTAGTACAAACCGAAGGGCCAATCATGGATCGAACACAGAACCTTCAGACAGTCGGCCAGTCAGCCAATGAAACAGAATCCAATGACCCATGAATTCTAACTTTTGTCATGGTAGAATGGGTACTGAGAAAGAGTCCAAAACTAGGGCGAAAAAGCTGACCAGTACTTAATGGGTTTTTCTTACTAGATTTCCAACTTAAAATCGACCATCAAATCGCTGAAAACTAACACTCTGGAAATCATTTAACGCCCATTAATGAGCAACTGCAGGACGAAGTTGCCTGGGGTTCCCATGAGAAGTAGGATATACAAGGATAGATACTTGTCGATGATATTAAGGCTAAATGCACCGCGAACTGGTAGAAGTTAGAATTCATGGGCCATCACTAGATTCTGTTCCACTGTCTCAATCGTTAACGGCCTCACCTGAAGATCCTTCTTGGGATAAGAAGAGAATAATGCCAACGAAAAGTCCCAAAAGATGATAAAACATTGATATAAGAATAGAACTTGTGCAAACAGTTGTCCTGGCTGTTCAATAGTTCTAACCAATTATTATCATTACCATCAGTTCATGATCTAATTTTAATCGAATCCCACTCGAAAAACCAACCAGCAGAAACACAATAAAAACAAATAATCAATCATCTTACCCAGTCTCTTTATCATAATTACGTGTAGTAGTATGTGAACGCATCATTAAGACCCGAACAAGCCACACAGTTTCTCTAATCCCTATATAATGGGTTCAAACCAGCAGTCAAAAACTTCATGAACTCTTCAGTAGTACGAACTCAGGACGGCACTATCAATAGAACCTAAGACCTTTAGACTACGAGGTGAACCTCTTAGAAACTCAGCCACTGTATGAGATATCAATAGCTTATGCATTCCAACCAGTGCCAAGATGTGGTGCATGCTAATTTAGAGTCTCTAACCAGGAAGAAGCAGCCGTCCAGGAAGCCCTGGGTTTTTAATGGTTCTCTAACTGACATCATCCTGAAGTCATAACCAACATTCGTGGGGCCCACCAGGCAGGATGGAGGTGAGGATAGATAGTCGCTTATGGTATCGACGCCACACTTAGCGTGATCTGACAAGAAATAGAATTCATAGACCAAGGACTGATTGGTCGACAGGCTAACCTTGTAACCTGAAGTTCCTAAATTCACTGCCCAGTGGGTTCATCGTGTATACTGTTGATCAGGAGTTTGTTCCAAACTAGGCGACGACACGGCTATCCAATATTTTTCCCTAACTAATGTTATCATCAGCATAAGCTCATGAGATATAACTTGTAATCTAAGCGGGAACCAACCAAGTGACAATAAACAAAAAATAACGTAAATGACCACTAATCATCTTACCCAGTTTCTTTATTATAATTCCGTGTAGTATTCGAACGCACCATAGTTCGTAGATTACTATTATTATTATCCTCTGTCTCATCGTGTTGATGTACCTGCTGATTTTGTTTATCATCAGTTTTATTCCCCAGTGAATGGCGTCGTTTCACATCAGCTACCGGTGTGTCAGGTGACGATGAAGAATTGGTATGAGGTGAAGACGAACCCGGCTGACCAGGCGAAGATGTTCGTTGTTGTTGCTGGTGCTGGTGATGATGCTGATTTTGCTGCTGCTGTTGTTGTTGCTGCTGCTGCTGTAACAGACGTCTTTCACGAGCTTCGTTAGCCTCATTAATTAATGGTCTATAAAAGACATAAAAAGAATAAATCGTTAAAAGATGAAGGAATGTGGGAAAAATCCCCCCTTTTTTGATTGACTGACTCAGTTTCAGTATAGAACTATTATGCACAGAAGTGCAGTAGCTCTTCAACTCTCCACACATCCCATATACCACACAAAGGTAAACAAACGAGAGAAAAAATAGATTCAAGAGAACGATAATAAGCAGAAGTGTAAGGGAGAAACAATAGTAACATAGAAAAGCAATGGGGTTCAGTGGATATAGCAGATCACACAGAGCGTGACTGTGTATAAGCCATTAACATCGAATTTGAACCATATCACCAATTGTCTCCAATCTTTGGTTCTCACCGTCCCGGGGATTCCAACCACTCTACACCTCCCTACGTGGCAGACTTAAATTAACTGTCAAAGATTTCATGGACTGATTCCAAGTTCAGGTTCTACCATCACAGCATGTCAGCTAACATTTTCCGAAGAGGAAGGCGATGGCTAGGAATGCATAACGCGTGCTGTCCAGGTGACTTCAATCGACGTAGCTTCACAACATCATCCATCGACTTGCTTGCTTACCACTTAACACTCGACGCCTAACCACCTCAATAGTACTCACCGAATTACACGACTTAACACAAAACATAGAACAAAGACACATATGGTCAGAAACAGCTAGCTTTTTCATATCTTCCACTTCCATTGGTCATGTCTCATAGCCATAAAGGAGGACGAATCGAACTGCTGTTGAACAGTACACACATCCATTTGATCGATAGTTGGCCGGATATCACGCCAGAGACGGCATCAGTTGGCAAATTCCACACGAGCCTTATGTATCCGTGCCAATATTTCATCAGCAATCAGCCAGTTGAGGCTGATACAAATTTTCAAATAAGTGAAGTGGTAGTCAACACACGCAGCCACTTTATTCCTGCTATCTTTAAGCTAGGAGTCGGTGGACACCAGTTCTGTGGAATCATCTTACTTTTTTTGCCTAACCCCTCCCCTCCATCCTGACCGACAGAGAGTTTCAACATAGAACTACTATGTACTGAAGCGTCAGTTATAGTGATCAAACTCTACATATTGCACACAAAGGCAGGCAAAAGAGAGAAAGAAGCAATTTAAAAGAACTATATAATTAGTAGAAATGTTCGGGGGAGAGAATAAGTATATAGAAAATAATAAGAATTTGACAGAACCAGGAGATTACACAAATGGATTAGAATAGCTACGCGCCACTAACAAAGATTTTAAGCCATAATATTCTCAAGTAACCCTGCAACACAGGCAGTCCAATCTCTTTCCGCTACCGTACATGGCTGGCTCAAACTGACAATCGAACACTTCACTGATTGACTGATGCCAGATTTTTCCATTCCTTTGCATTTTGGGATGGAACTTTTGATTTCTAACCTTGAAGTCTAAAGTAAATTAACTGAGATTTAGGGGTAGAGAATCGAAACCGAACCACCCGTGTGGTTGGCGAGTGTATTCTACCGTTAAACCATTGAGGTAGACGTTCTACGTTTGACTACTCTTCACCCTTTCCTTCCTGATCCCTCCACGATGTGACCGATGCGTAAAAAACATGTTCCAGTCATCAAAATCAATGCACAGCTTCACAATCTCATAACACTTGACTTTCCCTTCATTAACTAAAGCTCAATCTTTCGCTTCAGTATTACTCACCGTAGTCTAATACTTAAACACTAGGGAGACAGAAAGTAAAGCCCTAAGGTCAGCTGGTGTCTTCAAGTCTTCAACGAAAAATAATGTATCCTTGTTGGTTGGACAAAAGATTCTTGGTTGATTCTTTGCACAGCCAGTGTTTCTTGTTGCTTGTCCATAGTTTCTGGCCCAATAAACCATCTGATAATCAGTAATGAGTCAGTGAAGGTAACTGTTGATGAAAGTCTGCAGTCGACTGTTGAAAATGCTTTACTGGCACAAGTGCCAAGTCTCTGGACCATATGCAGAAGCACGGGTTGATTTGACATTCGTGTTAAACATAACTCGGATCTGGATCTGCATGCTTCTTGAGTGTAATAGATTTTCACACTGATTGCAGATTAATAAAGGTATCTTTCGTCTTTCCGTTCCTAGCAGACTGCATTCCTCAACAAGCAGTAAACGTAGTGTCTATACTTCATACTACTAATAAGTAGATTAGATTTACCGTTCAAAATTGTTTCCTAATTTGAACAATATTGTAAAAATGCCTACTAGACATCTACAAGAAAAAAGATTGGACGCAAACACATAAATAGTTTTGATCACGAACTCACATCAGTTGGGAAACCACTGAAAAACAGCAGATAGTACTGGAGAGGTGTTTTGGCCCAATCTGGGACTCTTCACCTATACATAACCACCAGGGTTCAAGGAAAGGTCATTCAGCCACTGGGACCCAATCCAGTGGCTAACCGATGAATTCCTACTTCAGCCAGTTCGCGGTACATGCAGCACTATCACCGCTCACCAGTTTCATAGGCGAGTAAATTTTCTCTTAACTCACTTGGTTGACCACACTGGCGAAGACTTCTCACGAATCCCAAACTAGGATGAAACGGCTGTCCAGCACTCCAGTAATATTTTTCAAATCGCTCTCTAACTGATGTCAGCTCGCGATCAAAACATTTAGCCAATCAAATTCCTGCAAACCAACACCTTAGGAATATGTCTTGGTCCACTCTAATGCAAACAATATACACATAGCAATTTTTAATACAGCAATACAGAAATATGCCAATTTAGAAGCGGCAGTGATCTTTGTTTGTCAATATCGACATGTTAAACGACGGCAAGGGGGAGGACAGTGATGAATAGTCATCTAAGAAAATTAATGCAAACAATCACAAAAAGGTAGAAATATTTGTGAAAAATGTTAACATGTGGATTACATCATGCATAAATTTTGGTTAAATAAGAAGAGTAATTAAAGAATAAATGAGTGTTCAAATCGACCACTGAACAAGCAGTTTAAGATAAAGTAGTCAGAAGAATAAATTAGTTAAGACAATGTTAAGTTGTAAGGGATTTAGAGTGACGAGGCAATTAACAGTCTCTTTACACTCAAGTAATGATTGGCTACTATCACCCATGATTTTCCTGATTGTGGTGGAGTGGATTATGCGGAAGACTATGGATGGAGAGCGAGAAGATGGGAATACGTTGGACCGACAACAAAACTCTAGAAGATGTGGACTTCGCGGATGGTTTATGTCTAATTTCATATGAATTCAAAGAATTTCAGGTGAGAAACAATAGGTTGGTAGAACAAGAAGCAAAAGCAGGACTTCAATTAAACATAGAAAAGACAAAGGTGACGAAGATAATCAACAACGACAGTAAACACCAATCATTACCGACAGGAGAAATTTGAAAGTCACTTCTTTCATTTATAGAGGAAGCATCGTTTGAAATACAGGCGACAGCACGGATGGGGATTTCAAAACCAGCGAGGATTGGAAAAGTAAGACAGACCTTAATTACTCTGAAATAAGTTTGGAAATACGTTGCAATCAGCATAAACAGCAAAGTTCTAATTTTCAACACAAACGTCAAGTAAATGAGCTTACATGGTTCAGAGACTCGACACGCGTCTACCGAAAACATTTCGAACAGGTTGCAGACTTCCATCAACAGCTACGTTTGTTGACTCAATAGTGAAGATCAGATGGCCGGTTGGAAAGGATAAACAGCAAGGAACTATGGCAGTCCCAAGAATTAACCAAGAACCTATCGCCCAACAAATATTTCGAAGGGAAGGGAGGTGGAAAAGGCACACACTAAAGAGACAGTCGAGTGACATCGAGCGACAGATGGTTGCTCAAGGAAAACCCAAATGGGAAAAGGTGAGTTAGGTGTCCAAGGATGGCATTTATTATGTAATCCAATTGTTTAAGTTTTGCAAATACCTCTGCCCTTTCTTCGTGAATTATCAACCCAATTTGATATGACTGGGGTTATTTGTTAAAACCAGCAAACTTACATTGGTGTTAATTTCTTTAATCTTGTATTAAAATTCGCTATGTCATGAATGAAGATCCGATGGCCGACTGGTCGGTCAGAAAAGATAAATAGCCGATATGGAACGCTGAGGTGTTTTGATTTCTAAACTAATATTTCTTTAGACAACATAGTAGACGCATACACCAACAACATCAGGAGATAGGGGTTGATAGGTCTTTCAACTGATCTTTCAACCGATTTTAACTACAATCCCAGATTGTTAGCTTACATGGTAGCCTACCAAAAGTGGCTATGATTACCGAATCAATGGTGAGATATACTATCGACTGACTGATAATGGGTAGTTGGATACCAGTTACTTCCCAATATTTATCATTATTTTATTTTATTCAAGCTAGAGCTTCGAAGTCCCGGGAGTAGTGGTGTTTATCTTTACAGGGTGGGATTGCTAGCCTTACGCCTAACCTTCCTCCTTTACCCGTTTTGTTACCGGCTTAGAGAGGTTTAGGAGTGCGTCGGCCAAGGATCGAATCCCGGACCACAAGCGTAGTCGGCAAGCATTCCACCACTGTACTACTGACTACCCCGTAGTGTTTGGTAACTGAGGATTCGATTCGATGCATTAACCACTTCCCCATACCAGTTAACCAACTATAATTCAGGTTAATCGGACTGATTCGGTTCTCTCTCACACACACACACACTCTGAGCTGATTCAAACAAAGGTTACACACCGTTGGTGAACCAGTAAGGATAAGCAAGCAAAAAGGAAATCTGAAAGGCACCGAACTTAGCTAACAATCCATATCTCAACAAATATGAAGATGAATTGGACATTTGCACTGGAAAATGACAGCCAGAACCTCGAGTGGAAGCCAAATAGAAAGTGATATGTTGGACATGGTTCCAAAACTGACATGAAAGTGATCATGAGAAGAGAAAATACAGACCAGATAAAAGAATAATAGCAAAGAACCTAGTGGTGAAAAGGAGATGTGCCATTGATATTTGCGTCATATGTTCCAATAATCCAGTTGACCCTGATCTAATAGTTTCACCTATGTAATTGACCTCACAATTAGCATTACATAGTATTATGAAATCAAACAAACTATTTAAAATTCAAAGCCTCTGTAGTACTGCAGTATAAAGAAAGAATGTCAGAGGCCTCACATAGGATTCTTAGTGAGACTGGAATTAGTTGGGATAAGATATAAACCAACTAGCTCTGTCAGAGGAAAACTTTGGCGGCTAAAAGTCCGAATAGATCCAATTAAGCGAAATAATAATACAATTTACCAAATACCATGCAATGCTAACTGTGAGGTCAATTACATAGGTCAAACTATTAGATCAGGGTCAACTGGATTATTGGAACATAAAAATTTAGCTAGACCTAGAATAATTGACCCTGTTAAGTTAAATAACCTAGAAAAAAGCTCAGTCATTGTACTGCATTCACTTGCATGCAGTCGACTCAACACCGCACGCATGCAATCGGAATGACGCAACGCCTATACTGGAGATATGGGAAGTGGCAACAAACAACAAGGGGAAGAATGAGAGAGACAGAGAGGAAAAATATATAGGACATTGTGAAACCGTATGATTACAATTGATATGATTATGAGCAATAATTTATGCTCGAAATGTCATCAGTTGAGATTACTGTACAACACTGTGTGATATTTAAAATAAACTTATCTAATATGGAATCCCATGATCTATTAACAATAATAATAATGATAATAATAATCGCGTAACAATAATAATTACAATCAACTTACAATAATATAGAACATGGTTTTGCATTTCGTATAAATTCTGTTTGTAACAAAGCAGCTGCTGTTGGCCGCGACTCAGGTGATTTCGCCAGGCAGGCTGTCACAAATGAACGAAATTCTAACGACCAATTATTTGGTTTACGCAAAGCTGGAGCTGGTTGACTTGGTATCATAAACAAGGCACGCATGGGATGTATGTCAGCCAGTGGTGGCTTGCCATCAGCCATTTCTATAGCAGTGATACCTAACGACCAAATATCTGCTGAGCAGTTGTAACCAATTTCTTGTATAACCTTATAAAACACAAAAATATTTTTCTAGAAAAAAGTCGAAATCCACATCATTTATTACTTCTACTATTATTGATTGTTTGTGGTGGACTGGACCATGTAACAGACTGTGAGAGTGAGAGAAAGAAGACACGTATAGGCTGGACTAACAAGAAGACTTAGGAAGATTTGGACTCCTGGATGATTGATATTAAGTGTCATACAAACTCGAAGAAGATCTACAGGCAGAAATCAACAACAAGTTGGCAGAAGAGGCAGCGATGAGAGGAAGGTTCAAGTGTTTGTAGAGACAGATGTGGTGAAGATATATTACGACCAACAACAACAAGCACCAGTCACCATCACTAGTGGGAGGTCACCTCTTTCATTTCCTTACCATGGCAGCATCGTTTCAACTACAGTCGATGACACAGATGAGGATATCAAAGCCAGGTAGGATGGCGTCGGATAAGCGAGACAGGCCTACATTAATCTGAAATCAGTGTGGAAGTCTACTGTATTTAGCATAAACAAGAACATTTGGATTTTCAACATTAATGTCAGATCAGCACTTCTATATATGGTTCAGAAGCCTGGTGAATGCTTCACGAAAATCATTCCTAACAGGCTGCTCCTGACTTTTAATCAACAGTTACCTCTGCTCAATAATGAAGATCAGATAGCCAGTCAGGAACGATTAGCAAAAAGGAACTCTAGCGATGCGATGAACCGACCAAGAATCTATCACCTTCACAACAAATATGCCGAAGAAAATGGAGATGAATTAGACACACACGGTAAGGACCGTTGAGTGACACCACTCGCCAAGTTATCGCTTGAGTGAAATCCATGTGGGAAATGACGAGTTGAGTTTGTGTCCAAGAGTGACATCCAGGAGATTGTGTGAGAAGGAAATCAAAGCTTATGACCAATTCCTGAAAACAGTTAAAAAGGACTTCGGAGAATAGAAATAAATAGAATATATGCTGACTACTTTAAAGGTTAGTTTCGGTGACTCGTAGAGTCGATTTGATAGAATCTCATTCTAACAACTTTCATTCGACTAACATTTTGAAGATTTTTAAACTAATATTTTTCCGTCTAAAATCCGGCATATATGGAGGTGTCACTCGTTAACCTCCCAAACGATAGCTGCCACCTTGACGTGGTGCTGGTGAACGAGCTTGCATATCGTAGTAACCTCTAACGAGCTACACTAACTAGAATAAGGGTTCCTGCAGGTCCAACCATGCAAGAAAAGTCGTTTGCATAGCCGTTAAACTAAAAGCAGTTACCATCATTCACATAGTGTAAGTGGTTTACACTATGTTGATGGCTTTGTAGGCGAATTTGAACTGTTGGCAAATAGGGGGATGTAACAGAAGTAAGAAGTTTTCAACAGTTACGCTACCTTACCCCTAGGGAGATGAAATGCTTATAAGTGATCGATGTCAATAACTGTACATCCCGACTTCGCTTATGACAGCCCGCAGCCATCGGTAATAATCTCATAAGAACACAACTCCGGACACCACTTAAAACAAGCTGTATGTGTGTGTATGGCTGGTCTCAAGCAGCTGTATCCCTTGGGCTTTGTGGTCATGCAACACTAAATCTCTTTCTGTTACAGGTACCCTCCAAGAAGAAGTCAACTTCTATGGTGTGTGAGCGACCAAAAAGTAATAACAGTCCATATACAGGTCCACAAATCAATAAAGTCTTTATGATCACTTCCCAACTCGGTAGTGTAAGCCAACCAGTTTTCAGCCAATGGGTGGTCCCAAGTTCAAGCCCGCCCCACCTACTACTTCAACCTGGATAACTACCTGGATAGCCCTTACATGGCAATTACATGTTTCACAGACTGATGCATGAGTAATTTGTTCCGGGGAACTGAGTTCTAACCCAGTCTAAACTATGTAGCAGGGAGACAGGTAGACAGATAGACGGATACACACATTCAACACCCTATACGATTTGGCTATAAACAAACATCAATAAACGGGTAAGACTATACTGATGTCAGATATTTGGAGGTGATCGACATGTTTCCCATTTGAAAGCCTGAAGGAATCGGAGATACGAACCCGGGTCATTCAGTGCTACAGTTAGATACATGTTACTACTGAGCTATTAAGACTCATGATTGACCTCCTGAAGAACTCTAATGGATATATTGACTAGTGCATTTAGTCCTTGGTGTATGAATCTCAGAGGGGACATTAGTCCCTTCAAGGTTGCATGCAGAAAAAACCTTGCTGTGATACGAGTACTAACAACTACAAAATCTAGATCAAGCAGGCTTTCTTGTCGATTGATTGCTTCCAACTATCATCTAACATCAATATTCAGAGTGGGAACGCGATGGCCAGTCACCAAGCTTTATGGTGAACATATTGTAAAACTTGGCTGACAATTAATTCAGTCTGTACCTACCAACACAGCAAGGGGGTTAGACGTATGATATTAGCTACCCACTGGCGACCAATCAGCAATGGAAAGCCGGATTAACTGACTAAGTTTTCGACGTACAACTTTGCAAAGAAGTGCACCAACACCATTTTAAGTTGCCACAACTTACCAGGGAACACACAGAGGTAGACCAAAAAAGGCATTGATTTTAATCATGTCGAGGATCCCAAACAGGTAGTTCACATCTTCCTATGCATACTGGTGCCAGGCTTTGGTTTGACCACTCTTTTCCAGCCGAATCCTTTGTTGGCTAACAACATTGCAAATCGAGGCCGGCCATGGCTCGATATGTATAAAATACCTCTTAGTCATCTCCATCGACGTAGTTGTTTCACAAACTCATCGACTGACTTAATATTGCTCACTTAACACACGGTAGACAGAAAGTAAACATCTGTGGTCAAAGACAACTAACCAGCCTTTTCATATCTTTCACTTTCAGTGGCCATTTTCCCCTAACAGCCATAAAGTAGGACAGAGAGAACTACCGCTGTGCAGTACACTCGTCCTTTGACCGATAGCCGGATATCACTCAAATCTACACCAGAGATGAGGTAAGTTGGCGAACCTCACACGAACTTTTTGTATCCCAATAGAGATTTTGGTCAGCAATCAGTCAAATCCATTAAGACTTATCTGTTTCCCAAAATAAGTGAAGTAATGGTCAACACACTCTACTACTTCACTCCTTATCACTACTTCGTCATGCGGTACACCACATGTTCACAGTCAAAACAAAAGTGAATCATAATTATGTTCAGATTTGTGATATTCTGCAGTTAACTCAGATAGAGTTTGGGCTTGCGTTTGCTCACTAATTCAACTTTCAAGTGAGTTGCACCTGAACATTGGAAAAACACCAACTCACCTCGGGCGCCATCCAATATGGTGTCCCAATAACTGTATTCCGTTTGGCTAGTGTATCAGACAACTGGCCAGCAACACCAAAATCAGCTAACTTTGCAGCACCTGAATTCAGTAGCAGAATATTCCCCGCCTTGATATCCCGATGAATTTTTCTCATCTGAAAGTAAAATAATAAAAATCAGTCTGAAAATAAATAAATTGATATGAAGGACCAAAAGCTGACTGTGAATACATTATTATTATGCCCTTGGGTTCCGAGGATAACATAAAGCTTCCACGGCACATCTTCATCGCACCCTATTCTCTTCAGTAATTATTAGCTGGCTTCATGATTACCCCTAAGGTCTCATCTCCTCCTCAGCACACGATCTCCTCCATATCAATCTCGGACACACAGCCAACTCGCCCTCTCCCACTCGGGTTTCGCTTGAGGGTTTTCTTGGCGCACGGTGTCAATCAACAGTCTCCTCTGCGTGTATACGATCCACCCATCTCTATTTTCTTCAGAATATTTATTGAAGTAGATGTTCATTCCCAGAGTTCCTTGTTGCTGATGCTTTCCAACCGGATACCTGAACTTCAGTATAGAGTCAATGAAGGCAACTGTTGATAAAAGTTTTCAGCAACCTGTTGGAAATGCTTTCCTTGATACCAACGCCAAGTTTTTGACCCATATAGAAACAATGACTGGTTGACTTAACGTTGGTGTTGGAAATACGAATTTTGTGTTTTATGTTGTGGCGGAGTGCAGCAGATTTCCATACAGATTTCAGAGTCTACTTCGCCTGTCCGATTCTGGTCCGTTTTGATATCTTCATCGGTGCTTTCCACCTGTCTGTAGTTGAAACGATGATGCCTAGCCACGTAAGTGAAGGAAGTGAGTGATCTATTTCAAATTTCTTCCGCTGACGGTGATTGGTGATCGTTGTTGTTGGTTTTTTAACTATATCATCTGTCCCCTCTATGTTCACTTGAAGTCCCGTCTTCGACGTCAGTCTCTTCTGCCAACTTGTTGGTTTTTGCCTGTAAGTCTTCGAATTTATATCATATTGAACACACATTATCCGCAAAGTCCAGATGTGATAGAGTCTTCTTATTGGTTCAACGTATTTCGGTCCTGTCGCTCCCCATATTGTGCCAAATCATCCAGTCCCCCACAATTAGGAGTATCAGTTTTGGGCGACGTTCTGCATCCAAAGCATTTTTCAGTCTTTCCAGGATAACGCCACTAAATATTTTGCTTAGCGTCCGAACAAAAGAATGATTCCACGCCAGTTCCTGCAGCAAAGGCTTAAGTCGCCCTGACTATGAATACATCAACAGAAGGTAAACTATGCAGTAGTGGTTCTACAAAAAAGCCAATGCACTCTAAGAGATATTAATACTTTAAGTACTCTCATTCGTCTTCTGTAAAGGCAGACCCAGTGAAGTGTTTGACTCTAACAGAGAGAAAACTCCATGTACAACATAAAAAACCCGGAATTATGAAAGGAAACAGATAGAAGAATCGTTGCTGCTAAATAACTATCCATTAAGAATATTACAAAAGCTCACAAGAAAAGGGAAAATAGCAGTGAAACTATTAACTCTAACATACTTTGGGTACACCTGAAACCCTACATAGTATTCTTAGTTGAGCAGGAATTCGGGGTGACATTCAAGCCTACACACTCACTGAGAAACAAACTGTTTAGGGTGGAGGACCCTATGGGCCTAGTTGGACAAACTAATGTAATCTACAAAATACCTAGCAATGAATGTGAGTTAGGCCAACTGCATAAGTCATTCAGATCAGTAGATCAGGGTTAGTCAGTTAATCTGAACGTAAGGATTTAGCTAGGAGTAGAATCCCTTACCCCACGAAGACGATGAGTTTATAAAAAGAACCTCAACAATCGTAATGCATGCACCAACACACAGAATCACCCAATACAGTGTGGGACAGAGCTACAGTTCCGAGAGGCGACGCAGACAGATGGAGGGAGAGGTTGACAACTGAATCATTGTTCATCGAAGCTACACACACCAAACACTTGCAATAGGAGAATTACGCAACATCTACAAACCAGTGGTATTGAAAGTATGACTACTAATAAAATCAAAGGATAAGAAATAATAGTGGAACTATATTATAAACAAAGTTTGAAATTTATGTGTGTGAGTACCTTGAAAAGACTACGAGTAGCGATAAATTCTGCTTGAGACGTCATCAGTAAATGCATAACATTGTACCAGTCACTATGTGTGCTTTCATCAAATAAAGTAATTCTATGATGGAATTATAGTCTACTACCACACAATGCTCAAGTTATATTCCTATAATTAGGAGTATATATTTGCACAAAAATGGCTGTAAATGCATCTTGTTTCTAAGCTATGTTATGAAGTAGATAACTTTGAAGGTACTTCTTCTATCCACTTGATGCCCGCTATCAATCAAGTGAGACAAAATAGAACTTCTCATAGATTATACCCGACCTTTTCCGAACCATGAAGGAAGATGATCACTAATACGACTGTCGAACTGTTTAGCTGTCCGCCCTATACAGCTTTCTCTGAAGGAGCAGCTAAATTTGTAAATACGTATAGAAGTGACACAGCTAGGTTGTCTTGTCTTTCGCTTAAGCAATCGTGATTGGTCGGCTGGAAAATGACAAACAAACCGTGACTGCAGTATAAGTCCGTTTTAGGCTCTAGATAATCTTACATGTAGAACCCAACTTCACTAGCGACGTCTCTGTTGACATGGAGCTTCCAAAACAACTACTTCTTAACTTTAAAACAATTAGTTCCCTTTATGAATTTAGATAAAGCAATAAAAAGACGTAATTTGTCTGAATCGTGTGTGTGATGTATTTGCGCAACACATTTCGAACAATCTGATCACACACGGACTTGTCATATATATGTGAAATTAATAAAGAGTTAAGAGGTGAGAAAATAGGCACGTTAGGTCAAGTTAAAAGGATATATTGAAGGTCAAAATAACAATGAAGACCACTAAACCAAATAGCAGAGGTAATAGTACATCTGCTATGGTATCAAAACAAAGTTTACCAAGGAAGGTTTAGTATGATGACGAATTGTTTTTGAACGCATAAAGGTGGTTTAAACTTTCTAGTTGCTAGGGCTTCCACAAACTTTAGGATACGCCACAAACACGTTCTATAGATAGTTTTAAAAGATGTATTAACGTCAATTTTATGTCCTGTCTGTATAATATGTTTCGCAATAGAGGAGCTAGGTCTCCTGTTCTCACCATTAATGGGTTCTGAAGATTTTATTTTTTTTTCTGGAGCCATTTAGGAATATGCTCTGAAGCCCTTACTTGTAGAGATCGATGAGTCCTCCCTATGTATGTGTGTCCACACACACATTCAAATTGGTATATACAGTGGTAAATACTACTTGAGTGGAATCTGAATTGGAAACGACGAAATGGACGTCGGTTCGAGAGTGACATGCTGAAGATCGTGTGAGGAGAGGAGAGTGTAAGTAGGATGATGAAGCCAGCTACAGAGGACTAGAAACAACAGGATGAAATGGAGGTGTGCTGTTGAAGCCCTATGTTCCACTCGGAACCTAAGGGAATAATAGTGGTAAAATAATTAATAAACAGAAATAATTCAAACAAGCAAAACTTACCTGATGTAAATAGTCTAAACCGCATAGACTATAATGCAGGACTGTAGCGATTTGATCTTCACCCGGGATCGGTCTACCTCTCAATCGCATAATATCAGCAATTGATCCAGCACCACAATATTCCATACATATCCATAAATCTTGACTATCAAACAAGCTACCATAACATTTGACAATGAATGGACTATCACATTGCTGCATGATGGATATCTCTTTCACAATATCAGCTAGATCGCTATCAACTGGAACCTGTTGGTTAGGCGGTCGAGGTGTTTGGGAAGGCGAAGTAGAAAAAAGAAAGTAGAAATATATATCAATTACTATTCAAGTACACTTACTATTATTACCATTTACGAGGCTAATGCGAAGTTGTCATCCGAAATAATGACAACCAGTGGTGGCAGTCAAGAATATCCAATGTTGCAGTTTTCGTTTAGTTTCATCACAGATGTGTTAAACCGTGGAATTGAGTTTAACCAACTTTAGTGACTTACGGATTAACTTGTCACCACTATAGAACAGCCATGTGAACTTAGAGTAAGCAGATGATATTGTCCTCATCTAGGTGACAAAGACGATGACAAAACGTAGAAAATCTTTTGGACACCTTGAGCAGGAATCGTTGAATATCTGGTATGCGATTCGCTGCTGTCAAATCTGAGATGATGTTGCGAGACTGATCTACACCGACTCCTAATGTTAAGTAAGGGAGGGAAGTGGTCTGACCGTACTGAATACTTCAGTTATTTGGGAAGTTGCATCAGTCCTAATCGACCGACTGATTGCTGGTGAAGCCCAAGCACGGATACAAAAGACTCGTGTGGCATTAGCAAAATTACGTCATACCTCTCTGATGTAGAAATAATATCCGGCTATCGATTGAAAGACAAGTGTAGTGCAGTTTACTCTGTTCTTCTTTATGGATGTGAGTGAGACATGTCAACTGAAAGTGGAAGTTATGAAAAGGCTAGTTAGCCATCTTAGATCACAGATGTGTTAAATGTTATAATATGGTAACTAATAATATTGAGATTAAGCGTGCATTATTAGGTAAGGAGGGTAAGTCAATCGATGAGGTTGTGAGGCTACATCAACTGAAATCGATAGGACACGCGGTGAGCATGTCGAGTCACCGCCTTCCTCGACGCGCAATATTAGCTAACATTTGTTTAGATTGGAAAAAAGTTAGGGGTGGCCAAAACAAAACCAGTCATCAATTTCGGAATTCACTGACAGTTGGTATGAACCAGCCACGTAAGGAAGTGTAAACTGCCTGATTGGGGTCCTCGGAGTACTAAGAAGCAATAGCTTGAGACTGTTGATGAGATACAGTCCAAAATCACTATGAATGACGCTGATGTATTCACTCTTATCGATCTCTCGTACTCATTATTCTCTATGTGCTTCCATTTAATTATTCTTTCGCGTGTACTTTTCTGTTCATTACAGTTCTTTTGAATCCCATTTTTCTACCTTGTGTGCCATATAAGGAGCGTGGCAACTTGAAGTGATGCCGCACTTCTGAGCAGTAAGGCAGTCAGCTGATCACGAATAGAGAAAAGGGAAATGTTTTAGAAAAGTTATTCATATTACTGAGTAAGAATAAAGTTGATTATTTACACTTTTGGCTATAAATTATGATGCTATTTACATTTGAATAAACTCAAGACATCTTCTCCAAAGGAATCCTATATCAGCTAATATTTCCCAACGATGCAGGTGGTCTGGGCATATGTAAAACTCTTCATAGACTTCTTGATCAACACAGCTTCACAACTGAATACATTGACTTTCCCTTTCTAACTAACAAACACTTTCACCTACTCTCATTATAATTGATTACTTTGTTCTCACAGGCGTAAATTAGATTGTCAAGGGTTACTGAGTCTCAGCATAGAAGTTTTCACAGCAGTGCACCAATATTTCAAGTTGACATTCCATGTAGAACACAAAAAGTGCAGAAAACATAGAAAAAGCAATTCAAAATGTCTGCTACGAGGAGAGATGTATGGGGAGACAGAACAACTAAATGGAGAATCTCATGGATCTGGGATTTCACACAAAAACTTTATTCATTTGCACCACTGGGAACTACTTTGCACCATTTGGAACCAGCATTCTCATCAGTCGTTCTTAACATCCCGAAGACCCTAACAAGCCAGGTAGTCCACATCTCCCTACCTGTGGTCAACTCCTTTAAACCATTTTAGAGCTTATTATTATTAATTCCTTCAAGATCCCAGTGGTACATAGGGCTCCAAGCTAGAGGCTTGAAGTTTCTGTAGCAGTGTTTATGTTACTGGATGGAAAATCGATATAGGCAGATTTTGATTGGCTGTTGGATAGCTGGCTTCCTATTGGTCTAAAATATAAGTTGAAGCGGCTATCTTTTTATTTTGACACGGAAATTTACAGTCACTATAATTTAAGGCTTACCTTACCATAATATAATGGCGTGTTAATTTTTTTCGTGTGAGTGTAGTGTGATAGTCACATGCTATTTGGATGCATTGGTGCTGTTTAAAGTACATTGAGATGTATGAGAATGTCTAGTAAGTGAATATAAATTAGCAATAATTTTGATACATTTATTTTAAGTCCAAAATAGGATATATGCATTTTTGCTTACTAGGCGAATATAATTCAACTACAATTTCTAAACATTTAATGTATCTTTAATTAGGACATATAGATATATGCATGTATTAACTGATCCACTTTTTTAAATTGTCAGTTTAGTGACCTGTGGGATTTGTGCACAGAAGCTTAGCATAAATCAATTAAATTTACTAGGTCACAACAGTGGTTTATGAGCACTTAAATATATACTATTATTGATTGACCTGAAATTAGAATGTTGTGTTCGTTAGTCATTGTTAAAACCATTACAGTCCCGGCCGATAACTGCTACCTTGCCGTGGTGGTCGGGCTTGAATGCCGCAGTGACCCAACAAGCTAAACTGGCTGGGACTCATGTCCCTGCAGGTCCTACCATGCCAGGAAGGTTGTTTGGATAGCGGTTAGACTAAAAGCAGTTACCATGGGGTACATGGGCTCCAGAATCCAATCGGATCAAATGGCGTACGAACCCATATGGGTCACCCGCAACCATGGGAACGCAGCACCTGACGCTGCTCCGCTGCCTTGCGGATTAGACTCCAATTCAAAGGCTCGGGGGGTGGTCCCTTAAGAAAACCACCTGCTTCGGTCTGGGCACCCGGGCAGTATCTCAGCCCTCACACAATAAATGAAAGAAAGCAACAAAATATCAGTGGAACTTATCGCGCGCTCGTAACAATGCGTTCAAGCAATAATGATGCCTCAAGTAACACATCTCTTTCCAACCTTACTTTTATTTTTATACTTAGTTTCCTGTATTTTACCTTTGCTCACCTTGACTTCTTAACCTTTGACAGCCTTTTGCCTTTGTCTGGATTCCTAGCCTATCTGTGTCGTTTCGAGATGTTAGTGAGTAACCCTCAAAATGGTTGTCCCCAATGTGACATCTAACACAGATATCCTGAAACCGCGTGCCGCGTTCAAGCTGGCCACCTACAATGTTCGGACGCTGATGCAAATCGGACAACAGGCAGGGTTGGTAAGAACTTTGGAAAGCCTCGCTATCGATGTCTGCTGCATTTCGGAGACTCGCATTCAAGATCCCAGTGAAGTGCTTCGATTATCCTCTCCATCTGGAAGTTCTAGTAGTATGTACCACCTGAGCTTGTCCGGGGACCCTGTGGCGTCGGCATCCGGCGTAGCTGGTGTCGGCGTCGCACTGAGCGCTAGAGCCGAAGCTGCACTGCTCGACTGGATTCCCATTAACAGTCGTTTATGTGCTGTGAGGCTGGAAGGTTATACGAAAGTAAGGAGTAGTAGGCCAGATAGGCGGTGTCTATTTGTTGTCTCTGCCTATGCACCAACGGATTGCAGCCCGGATGCAATGAAAGACGAGTTCTACCACCAACTTAGCGATCTCTTGAGACAGGCGGGTCGGAGGGATATCGTAGTGCTGACTGGGGACTTGAATGCACAGGTCGGGCGTCTGAGCTCAGAGGAGAATCGTCTAGGTGGTCAATGGGGACTACATGGTCGCAGGTCAGATAATGGGGACCGTCTTCTGCAGCTTTGCGCGGATCACAACCTATTTCTGGCCAGCACCAACTTCCGGCACAACCATCGCCGTAGCGCTACCTGGCGTTCTCCCTCTGCGAACCAAGCTTGGACTCAGATCGATCACATTGCTGTCAGTTTCCGGTGGCGAGGATGCACACAAGACTGTCGCTCCTTCTGGAGCACATGCCTGGACTCCGATCATGCGTTAGTGTGTGCCAAGTTCGTCTTGCGATTTGGTGGGGTTCATAAAAGGCGTCGTCTAAACGTTGATGTGAGCAAACTAGTAGCACCTGCTACTTGTTTGAAATATCAGAATGAGTTACAATCAATGCTTGCCAGCAACCCCCCAAGTAGTATAGATGAACATTGGCTCCATCTGCAAGGTGCCATGCAAAGAGCTAGTGTAGCCGCTTGCGGCTTGAAAGAATGCTCCACCAAAAACCACTGGGTTTCTGCGAGTTCCTTGCAACTCCTGGATGAACGCTGGTCCATTCCGGCTGGCAGCGAATACAGCAATAAGCGAAAGGCGCTGACGCGCAAGATAAGAAAGTGTTTACGTAAGGACCGCGAAGCCTGGTGGTCAGAACGTGCGGGTGAGATGGAGTCAGCTGCTGCATCTGGCAACAGTCGGAAGCTGTTCCAACTCATCCGAGCCGCCGGCAGCAAGAAACAAGGTGTCAGCGAGACGGTCTGTGAGGCAGATGGCACGCCAATTACCAGTTTGAAAAGACGCCTGGAACGCTGGGCAGAGCACTTCGGGAAACAGTTTAGCTGGCCACCAGCTTCAATGTCTGCTGTCATTAGCCCCAGTGCTCCTTGGTCGGTTAATACCGACCTACCCACCGAAGCGGAGGTCCGTAAGGAACTCCAAGTGTTAAAACGCCATAAGGCGCCCGGCCCAGACAATTTACCCCCGGCTCTTTTTAAAGATGGTGGCGAGACTCTCACAATGGCTCTAACTGGGTTGTTCAGGAAGGTATGGGAAACTGAGAGTGTACCATCAATGTGGAACGAAGGCATTATCGTCCCCATCTTTAAAAAGGGTCGACATAATTCGTGTGACAATCATAGAGGTATCAGTTTGCTACCAGTCGCGTCTAAATTATTGGCTTCTGTCTTGCTTCGCAGGCTGT